GAAGTATGCAAGGAAGGTTTCAGAGAGACTAGAGACAAGAAGTCCAGCAGTACTTTGAGCACTAGTTGAGGGCCTGGGTTAGTTAGATTTATGGAAATGGAAAGAATGACTCAAATGAGAGATGTTAGAAAAAAGAATCAAGAGGCTCTGTGGATGCATTGAACCTGAGAAACACATGGGCAGGGGTTGGAGAATAGCTATGTCCAAGATACAGAGAGGTAGAGGAAGCATAAAGACCAGGGAAGAAGAGACCCGCAGGAATTAGTGCCGAGAAGCAGGAGTTTAAGGGCAGGAGGAGGAGATCCAGGCCCAGGGACAGGTGAAGAAGTTGTCTCCCTTTCCCAAGCATGGCAGGTAGACTTGGAGGAAAAAGAATAAGAGGAAAGGCCATCATACCTGCCAGTCTTCCTGAAATGCTGAAGGTACAGCAGGGCTGCTATATCAGAGGCATCCCGGCCAGGACTCCAATCACGATGCCAACAATGACCCCAGCTGAGAGACCAGGAGAACTTCCTTGTCCTGAAACATCCATCATGGAAAGAAAAGAGAAGGAATGAAGGTGAAATTATTTTTATGGTGAGAGTGTCCCAGGAAACAACTCTCAACATGAAGTAGTCTCTAGCTGTTCCTTCAAGAACTACTTTTTGTTTTTCTTTTGTAGGAAGGTTGCTGGGAGCTGATGAGTCAACTATATCCTTGTAATTTTTCCTGTCATTGTGTTTATAGGTTGGTGATCAGTCTTTCCTCAATTCCATCCTAACCTTTCTGCACTCAGATATTTTTGAGGGCTCTGAAATGCAAAAAAGTCTGATTGCCATTTTTGCATGTCACTAGAATCTTTCACTGTTTTGTGGTTGCATCTATTTCTGTGTCTCATTTGTGGCAGCCGTGGATATGAACCTCTCAGGTTTCTATGGTAGGGACAGAAGGTCCAGGCCAGTGCATTCGGAATTCACCACCTCCTTTGCAGAGACCTTGCTTTCCAAGGGCTCCCAGTATGGGTGTGAAAGTAACCCAAGCTCTGAAAGACTGTTTTCCTCTGGTAGGTCACTGGCTCAGGACTCCCCATCAGCCTTGAAGAAATACTCTTAGAACTACACTGTATAAAGTTTCCTTCCTTCTCTTTCTCCTTCACAGGTATCAGGTCTGTATCGTTGCTGAGGGGTCTCCCAATCTTCTCCCACTCCTACCCTATTTTCCTTCACAGACCTTTTCCCCTGTGAATATCTTGCATGTCTAATCCCATCTAGGCTGTTGTCTCAGTGGATGAAAACTAACATACCAGACTTGAGACTTGGCACTTAACTCCTTCCCCATATTTAGTAGATGACCGTGTCCTACTGGTTTTTGGTGTAATGTCTCTTTTCCCATATATCTATAGTACCTGTTGTTTTTGTGTCTATCTCTTCTTTTTTATTTCTGTTGCAACCATTTAGGCTTAGGCTTTACCCCTCACCATTTAATTCAGGCTAATGATTAATGCTAATGTTGACTACTGTTGTGGGGTACTTACTATGTGCCAGACCCAGTGCTAAATACTGTATATGAATCTCATTTGATTTATACAATAACCCTGTCAAGTATACATTATTTCCATTTTAAAGGTGAAAAAGTAGAGGCTGAGAGTGGTGAAAATACTCACCCAAAGTCATACGGTTTGTGAGAGGTAGATCTGGGATTTGACTCTGGGACTACCTGACTTCAAGGCTAATGATAATAGTAGTAATAATAGCAGCTAATATTTATGGAACATTTCCTCTGTGTATGGCATTTTGCTGAAGGTTTAATTGACTATGATGTTAAATCTTGAAAAAAAATATTATGAAGTGGGTACTTGTATGGCAATGTTCAGCTGGGGAATCTGAGGCTCAGAAAATTTAGGAATTTTGTGTAAGAAATTTATAATTGTAAACACTTGCATTAAAAAAGAAGAACGACCTCAAATCAACAACCTAACTTTACAACTTGAGGATACAGAAAAAGAACAAGTTAAACCCAAAAACAGTGAAGGAAGGAAATAATAAAAGTAAAGTAGAGATAAATAAAATGGAAAATAGAAAAACATCAGAGAAAAATCAATGAATCCAAGATGGTTCTTCAAAAAAGATAAACAAAATTGACAACCTTTAACTAGATTAACTAAGGAAAAAAGAAAGAAGATTCAAATTACTAACATCAGAAATGAAAGTGGAGACATGATTACTTCTACAGAAGTAATAAGGATTATAAAAGTACTATAAATAATTGTATGCCAACAAATTGGATAGCTTAGATGAAATGAACAAATTCCTAGAAACATAAAACCCTATCAAGATTGGATCATAAAGAAACAGAAAATCTGAATAGACCTATAATAGTAAGAAAATTGAATCAACAAAAGCATTTGACAAAAGTCAACATTCTTTCATAATAAAAATACTCAAACTAGAAATTGAAGGAACCTATTTCAACATAATAAAGGCAATGTATGAAAAGCCCAAAGCTAACATCCCACTCTATGGTGAAAGACTGAAAGCTTTTCCTCTGAAATTAGGAACAAGAGAAGGAGGCCTGCTTTCACCATTTCTATTCGATATAGTATTGGAAATCCTCGCCCGATAGATCAGGCAAGAAAAAAATGAAAGACATCAAAATTGGAGAGAAGAAATAAAATTATCTCTGTTTGAAGATAACATGAACTTATATGTAGAAAACCCTAAAGATTATTATTTTTTATTTCATTCCATACAGACAGGCAGAGAAAACCCTAAAGACTAAATAAAAGTGATTAGAACTAATAAACAAATTTAATAACAGACAAAAATCAGTAGTATGTCAATACACGAACAGTAAACAATCCATAAGGAAATTAAGAAAAAATTCAGTTCACCTTAGCATCAAAATGAAAAAAGAACTTAGGAATAAACTTAACCATTGGGGTGAAGGAACTATATCCTGAAAGCAACAAAGCACTGCTGAAAGAAATTAAAGAAGACACAGATAAATGGAATGACATTTTGTTTCCATGAATTGGAAGACTTAATAGTGTCAGGATGATGGTACTACCTAAAGTATCTACAGGTTCAGTGTAATCCCTGTTTTAGAACCCCAGTGACATTTTTTGCAGAAGTAGAAAAAAATCTATCCTAAAATTCATATGGAATTTCAGGGACTCTAGCCAAAACGATATTGAAAAAGAAGAACAAAGCTATAGGACATCAATGTCCTGATCTCAAAATTCACTACAAAGCCACAGTAATCAGTATAGTGTGGTACTGGCATAAAGACAGACATGGAAACCAATGGAATGGAATAGAGAGCCCAGAAATAAATGCTTCCATATTTGGCCAAATGATTTTGGACAAAGGCACCAAGACTACTCAGTGGGGGAAATAATAGTCTTTTCAACAAATAATATTGGGAAAGCCGGATATTCATGTACAAGAATTAGTTGAACTTTTACCCAACACCACATACAAAAATTAACCCCAAATGGATCAAAGACCTAAATGTAAGAGCTAAAAGTATAAAACTCCTAGAAGAAAACACAGGGAAAATCTTCATCACATTGAATTTCTCAATGATTTATTGGCTATGATACCAACAACTTAGGGAATGAAAGGAAAATGGATACATTGGAAGTTATTACAATTATAACTTTTTTTTTATATCAAAGGACATTATCAAGAATGTGAAAAGGCCACCCTGGTAGAAAATATTTGCAAATCATACACCTGATAAGGGATTAATTTCCAGAATATATAAAGAATGACTACAGCTCAACTGCAACAAAACCCAAAAACCCAATATAAAAATGGGCAAAGGACTAAAACAGATATTTCTCTAAGGAAGACATATAAATGGCCAATAAATACACACAACGATGTTTAATATCACTAACTTAGGGATATGCAGCTCAAAACTACAATGATATACCACCTCACCCACAGGTGTGATGGTCCTGATTAAAAAGAAAACAACAAAAAAAGGTGTCTCAAGGAAGTGGAAAAAAATTGATCTCTTGTGCATTGCCGGAGGGAATGTGAAATGGTGCAGCCATGGTGGAAAATGGTATGACAGTGTCTCAAAAGTTGAAACAAAGAATTATCATTTGATTCAGAAATTCCATTTTTGCCCAAAATAATTGAAAGAGGGAATCTGAACAGGTATTTGTACACTTGTGCCCACAGCAGCATTAATTACAATAGCCAAAAAGTGGAAACAACTTAAAAGTCCATCAAAAGATAAATAAGTGGACAGGCAAAACAAAAGATGTATAGCCATACTGTGGAGTGTTATTCAGTTTTAACAAGGAATACAATTCTAATACATGCTACAACATGAATGAACCTTGAAAACAGTATGCTAAGTGAAATAGACACAAAAGGACAATTACTGTATGATTCCGTTTACATGAGGTACTTAGAATCATTGATTACATAGAATCAGAAAGTAGAGGTGCTAGAGAGAGAAGGGAAGAAGGTGTGGAGGGTTATTGTTTAGTTGGTACAGAAGTTTAGTATGGTACAGTGAAAAAGTTCTGGAAGTAGACAGTGGTGATGGTTGTGTAACAGTAGAAATATACTAAACACCACTGAACTGTACACTTGACAGTGGTTAAGATGGTAAATTTTATGTTATGTATACTTTATCACAAGTGAGAGAAAAGCCTGGTATTCTTTCCTTCTCTATAAATACATACTTTCTAGCACTGCCCCTTTTGTGCCATGCAGTGACCCTGAGGGTGAATCTCCCTATCTCTCCAAGTGTATGTCACTTGCTGTCCTCTGTGCTGGATCCCATGTGCTGTGTCGACAGCCTCTTATGACTGGTGAGTTAGAGCCAGGACACAGCTCAGGAGTCTGCCCCCAGGCTCACTCTCCTCCCACTTCCCTGCAGCCTGAGCCTGGGAGGGTCTGGTGGTTCCATTTAGTCAGATAATTGGTGACTCGATTTAGCCAGATTCAGGACAGACAACCCGGGCACCTTCTCCACATACCCGGTTCCCACCCCAGATGGAATCAGGGCAGAGCTAACCAGGAGCAGAGTCTGAGCTGCTCATCCCTCATCTGAGGGGGCTTCCTCCTCCCATCTGGGGGAAGAAGTATGAGCTTCTTTCAAAGTTGCATACATTTCTTACACCTCATAGAGTAGATTTAAAAAAAGGTAACAGAAAGAAGCAACTTGACCTTGAGAACCCTTCATTTTTCTAGGATGATGAAGCCCCTCCCACTACATGGGACTCTCTGGGGTGATGGAACCCCCTTCCCACATTACAGGCTGGACCCAAATTCAGCCAAGAGAAACCAGAGAAACAAGGAGAGGAGAGAGTCTGCAGAGGCAGAGTGGGAGGGTTCAGGGGAGGATTTGGACTTGCTGGTGCCCATGGGACACAGGCTGAGAAAGAACATTTCTTCTTGGCTCTTCTCTGAAAACCAGACAAATTTCACCCCAAAATATGATGCCAGTGCTCCAGGGATTCACTTACCCGAGACTGTGATTTTCTTGACTGTGGTACTATTGCTGCCAGTGGCCGCGTTATGGGCAAGGCAGGAATAGGACCCGCTATTCTTTGTAGTGATTTTGGTGATAACAAGCTCTTGTGTGGACTGCTGGGGCTTGTCATTGATAAGCCAAGAATACTGTGCGGGCGGGTTAGAAGCTGCGTTGCAGGAGAGCCTGAGGTCTGTCCCTGAACTGAAAGAAGACTCTGGGGGAGAAATGGTGGGAGCATCTGGGCCATCTGGAGCAAAAAGAATAAAACCACAGATGATGTTAACAGAGGGAAGGACAAGCTCCTGGTCTATAGAAGGGCCACAGTGTCCCTCTCAGCTGAGTCACATCTCATTTTATAAAGCACCATCCATAACCCCGGTGTCCACTGATTCTGATTCTGAGACATTCACCTGTTTCTCTCATCACAGGTTGTGGACCCTGAGCTGCCCAGGACAGAGGAAGCCCCCTGCCCTATTCTTGGTCAAGGCCAGGTCTGCTTGGGTTTGCCCGGGGCAGGAAGTCATGGCCAGCCTGGGTATCCAGGGGTGAGGGTCTGTATACAAGGACCTGAGAGGGACTGAGTGACCTGGCCTCTGCCATGTGGATTTGGGCTGGCAGTAGGGGCGTAAAGGAACAGGAGATACTCACAGAGGACATCCAGGGTGAATGGGTCACTGTGGTTGTGACTCACTGGGTCCTGCGAACGTGTCTCACATTCATAGCGTCCTTTGTCATTTCTTGTGACACTGAGTATAGTGAGGGTCCTGTTGTCCTTGGACAGCACCAGCCTGGAACTGACTGAGGCGTTCTGACCATTTATCCACCACGTGTAGGCTATGCTTAGAATCTCAGGTTCACAGGTTAAGGCTACAGAGTCCTTGTTCTCCACGGGTTTGGAGTTGTTGCTTGTGATATAGGGTTTGGGTAACTCTGCTGTGCAGAGAACAGAGAGAAGATTGCTCTGGGTGGTACTTTTGATTCCTCCAGAGGCATCTTTAATCAAAGTTGGCATCTTTCACTTCTCAGTCACCCTAAGTCCTTAAAATGCCCCAGTAGGACTTTGTGTCACAAGACAATTGCATGATGATATGAGGGCACAGAGAACGTTAAGGCCCTCTTGGTGTGTCTGGGAGAAGCACAGTCCTTCTCAAGTGTGAACTGAGCAGCAGTGCTCAGTGTTAGATAGACACAGGACCAGGACTCAGAGCCCCTGGTCCTTCCCTGACTGACTGACCACCTGGCTCATCTCAGGACATGTGAGTGCTGAGTCCCTTTCCAGCTTCACAGTACCACACCATGTAGCCGTGTGTTTTCTCTTAGACTTTGCATTAAGGCCAGCCTAGAGAAGGGGTGTCTCCACAGAAATAACTCAGGGAGACCCAAAGCAGTGTTAGTTCAGTGGTCAGTCTGTGGGCCACAAGCCATTCTGCCCAGGAGTTTGATGAGAACAGAGTTTCAGTTTGGGAGCATGAAAAGAGTTCTGTGGATGGGTGGGGGTGATGTGGGGGCACAACAGTGTGACTGTACTTAAGCCACTGAACTATACACTTTGAAATGGGTAACAGGCCGGGCTCAGTGGCTCAGCCTATAATCCCAGCACTTTGGGAGGCCGAGGCGAGTGGATTGCCTGAGCCCGCGGGTTTGAGACCCGCCCGGGGAACTTGGTGAGACCTCGTGTCTACAATAAAATAAAAAATAGTCAGGCATGGTAGTGCGTGCCTGTAGTTCCAGCTACTCAGAAGGCTGAGGTGGAAGGATTGCTGGAGCCCAGAAGGTCAACACTGGGGTGGCTGTAAGCATGTGTGCCACTGCATTCCAGCCTGGGTGAAGGAGTGAGACTCCAACTCAAAAAAAAAAAAAAAAAGAAAAGAAAAGAAAGGAAATGGGTAACATGGAACATGTTACGTTAGATATATATAGTGGCTGACACTCTATAAATACGTACTTTCTGGCACTGGCCCTTCCTTCCCATGTGAATCTCCTTATCTCTTCCCCCACATAGCGAATCTCCTTATCTCTCCAAGTGTACATCACTCACTGTCCTCTGTGCTGGATCCCATGTGCTGTGTCCACAGCCTCTTATAGCTGGTGACTTAGAGCCAGGACACAGCTCAGGAGTCTGCCCTGAGACTCACTCTCTTCCCACATTCCTGCAGCCTGACCCTGGGGAGGTGCTGGCATTGATTGGCAGCTCAATTTAGCGAGATTCAGGACAGCCTCTCCCAATACCAGCACCTTCTCCACCTACACTGGTCCAACCCAGGGGGAGTCAGGACAGAGCCAGGAGAAGAGCAGGGAGCAGAGTCTGAGCTGCCCACCCCTCACCTGAGGGTGTTTCCCTCCTCTTCTTATTTGTGAAAGAGTGTGAGCTTCTTTCAAAGCCATATATATTCCTTATACCTCATGGAGTAGGTCAAAGAAAACAAAGAGGGGACAGAAAGGAATATGCTGATGACAGAGTGAAACAACTTGACCTTGAGGACTTTTCCTCTTTTCCTTTCTCTGAATCTTCTCCCACTACCCGGAGCTCCCCACATTCCAGGCAGGATTCAAGGTCAACCACAAGAAATCAGAGAAGCAAGGGGAAGAGAGAGTCTGCAGAGACGGAATGGGAGGATTTGGAATTGCTGGTGCCCATGGGACACAGGCTCAGAAGGAACATTTCTTCTTGGCTCTTCTCTGAAAACTAGGTAAATTCCACCTCCAAACATGATGCCAGGGCTCCAGGGATCCACTTACCCGAGACTATGATCATCTTGTCTGTGGTGCTATTTTGGTCAGTGACTGAGTTATGGGCGAGGCAGGTATAAGATCCATTATCACTCACAGCGATGCTGGGGATAACGAGGTTTTGTGTGGATTGCAGGAGGCTCCCATTGAAAAACCAAAAATATCGTGCAGGCGGGTTAGAGTCTGCATTGCAGGAGAGGTTGAGGTTTGCCCCTGATTGATAATAGGAGGTTGTGGGGGAAATGGTGGGGGTGTCCGGGCCATCTGGAGCAAAAAGAATAAAACCACAGGTGATGTCACCAGAGGAAAGAGGAAACACCTGGTCTGTAGAAGGGCCACAGTATCCCTCTCAGCCGAGTCACAAACTTGTTTTATAAAGTCTTACCCATAATCCCTGAGTCCACTGAGCCTGAGTCTGAGATATTCACCTGTTTCTCCCAGAGCAGGCTGTGGACCCCAAGCCTCCCAGGACAGGAGCAGCCCCTCCCCTCCTATTCTTTGTCAAGGGTGCATCTGCCTGGGTTTGCCCGGGATGGGAAGTCATGACCAGCCTGGGTGTCCAGGGGTAAGGGTCTGTGTACTATGACCTGAGAGGAACTGAGTGGTCTAGCTTCTCCCATGTGGATTTGGGCTGGCAGTTGGAGGAACAGGAGATACTTACAGAGGACATTCAGGTTGACTGGGTCACTGCGGTTGTAACTCACTGGATTCTGGGTTCCACACTCATAGGGTCCTGTGTCATTCCTTGTGACATTGAATAAAGTGAGGGTCCTGTTGTCCCTGGACAGCTCCAGCCTGGGACTGACCGGGAGGCTCTGACCATTTATCCACCACAGGTAGGTTGTGTTCAGAGTCTCAGGTTCACAGGTTAAGGTTATAGAGTCCTTGTTCTCTACGGGATCAGAGTTGTTGCTTGTGATGGAGGGTTTGGGTAACTCCGCTGTGCAGATAACAGAGAGAAGATTGTCCTGGTTGCTACCTTTGATTCCTCCACAGGCATCTTTAATCACAGTTGGCGTCTCTCACCTCTCAGTCAACTCAAATTCTTTAAAGACCATGGCAGGTGTGTGTGTCACAAGACAGATGCATGACAATCTGAGGACTTTGGGAGAAACACAGACTTTCTCAAGTGTGAATTGAGCAACATGGGGTCGTGGACAGACACAGGACCAGGACTCAGAGCTCCCTGGTGCCTCTCCTGGTCTTTCACTGACTAGCTGACTGCCTGACTTCCAACTTAGGCTCCTCACCTGGAACGCACAAGTGCTTGGGTCATTCTAGCTTCACAGTTCTACTTTACCCCGGTAGGTGTGTTTCTCTGGGGCTTCCCTCTCCAAGGATATCCTAGAGATGGATAATGAGGGGACTTCCCATTGTCCTTAATCCTTTAGGATACTGGGCAGTCTGGCCTGGGACAGGGTATTTGAGCACAAAAAACACATGGGAGACCAGAAACAAGCCTGGAGGTCAGTTCAGTAGTCAGGCGTTGTGGTCACAAGGTTGGATGGTTTTTTTCCAGGTGTTTGATGATGACTCACATGAGACAGTGACCTCCCAAAAGTAGAACAGAGTCCAAGAAATAGCCTAGAAAAAGGGAGGGGGACAGGCAAGAGCAGAACCATGTTCCCTGTCCTTAGTTCTTAATGTCTCTTCTCTCCCTGCAGAGGGCAGATGAGGACCATGAAGATCTTTCCAGAAATTCACATGGACATTTACAAATGCAGAACTGACTAGTGAGAAGAGGGAAGCATGAATGTGCTGGAAATCTGACCCTTGTGGACTGTATATGTTTGGTGGATCTGGAATAGAAATCAGGGAGACATTTTGCAAATATTTTCTTCCATTGGACATTAAGCTAAATGAAAGAAGTCAGTTACAGAAGGACAAATACGGTAAGATTCTACTTCTATGAGGTACCTACAGTTGTTGAACCTATAGAATCAGAGAGTAAATAGTGAATGCCAGTGGCTGGGGGGGATGAGGAGCTTTTGTTTGGTGGGTGTGACGTCTCAGTTAAGCATGATGAGGAAGTTCTAGAGATACGTTGAACAAATTGTGCCTATGGTTAGGTAGGCTGAATTTTCCTTATTGAAATTCTTGGGACCAGAGGTTTTTGGATTTCTGATTTTTTTTTTTTTTTTTTAGTTTGGAATATTTACAGTGTATGTACTGGTTGAGCATCCCAAATCTATAAACTCAAAATCCAAAATGTTCCAGTAAGTGTTTCCTTTGAGTGTCATGTCAGTGCTCAAAAAGGTTGGGATACTGGAGAATGTTGGATTTGAGATACTCAACTTATGATATTGTAATTTGCCCTTCAAAATTTGTCAAGATTTCAGATCTCAAGCTATGTTCTGACTATACTAAAAAAATTTTTAGAGACAGCATCAAATTTTTTCCATGAATGGAAGTTATTATTGATAGTTTAAAGATCTAGGATCAACGGCTAGAAGTAGTATATCTCTTCAGAATGTAACAAGGTTTAGATCTGCTCTGAGTTCTCACAGGGTCACATCATTATCAAAGGAAGATGCGGGAATTGGTTTGAAATCAGTGACTCCTTGGGTAGAGACAGATGTGTGAGTCCTGTTAGGAGGACAGAGCCGGTCAGAGGGGATGTCTGAGAGGTCTCAATTACATAAGGGGAGGAACAATGCCAAAGGAGGAGAAATGATATGTATTACATTAGTACATTTAGAAAGAGGTCTATGTCATAAATTCCTGTGGAGTCAGGCAAAATGAGGAGGAGCCTGACAAGGCATGTGAAATGCTTTCTTCCTTCTCTTTCAACCTCAAGACACACAACTAGAGTATGATGAAATGCATCCAAACTGGGCAGAGTCTAAGTGAGATACCAGTGGTTCCTGCACCTCTCTGTCAGAGGGACCCCACCTTATGACAATGGCATCATCATTAAAATACAGGTGTGTGTGGACCAGGCAGTAAACCCATCAGACAGCACCGGCCTGGCCAGCCCCACCTGGGAAGGTCCCAGGAACCACTGGTATTCCACACGTATATGTTACACCCTTTGTAGTGTCCCACAACAACAAAATATTAAATATGCTCTGTCAATGAGGAATGTTAAGAATGAAATTGAATGTGCTGTTCCAGTTGTTTTCTTCACTTGTTTTAAATTTTGCTGTTTCTGTTTTGCAAGTTTCTATTGACAAACTTCTTTTCTTTTTCTTTTCTTTTTTTTTTTTTTTTGAGTGGGAGTCTCACTCCATTGCCCAGGCTGGAGTGCAGTGGTATGCTCATGGCCACCCCAGCATCGATATGCTGGGCTCCAGCCTTCCAGGTAGCTGGAACTACAGGTGCGCGCTATCACCTGGCTAATTTTTGACTTATTGTAGAGACGAGGTCTCACCAAGTTGTCCAGGCTGGTCTCGAACCTGCAGGCTCAGGCAATTCACTCACCTCAGCCTCCCAAAGTGCTGGGATTACAGGCTGAGCCACCGAACCCGGCATCTATTGACAAATTTCAAGCTAGAGATTCCTTCTTCAGCTGTGTCCAGTCTACCGAGAAGCCCTTCATTTCTCTTAGTGTTTTTGATCTCTAGCATTTTTTGGTTCTTTCTAGACTGTCCATCTCTCTGCTTACGTAGCTCATCTGTTCCTGCATGTTGTTTACTCTTTCCATTACAACCCTTATCATTACAACATCCCTGCCATATCTGATTCTAGTTCTGATGCTTGCTCTGTCTCTTCAAACTGTATTTTTTTTTTTTTCTTCTTACTATGTTTTGTCATTTTTGTTGAGAGACAGACATGATATTCGGGGTAAAAGGACCTTGGGAGAGCAGGCATTTGGTATGTGGGTGAGTGAGAAGGGGAGTGTCCTGTGATCCTTGATTAGGTCTGTGCCCTGGGCTGTGAATTTCCCAAGTGTCTCTCAGGTTTTTCTTTCTCTTAGGTGAGATGTGATGCTAGATAGGGCTGGAGTTGGGCCTTTTCCTCTCTCTAGATTAGTTAGGCTCCATAAAACCCCAACAGAGGCTGGTTATGGTGGCTCATACCTCTAATCCCAGCACTTTGGGAGGGGGGCAGGAGGATTTCTTGAGCCTAGGAATTTGAGACCAGCCTAGGCAACATAGTGAGACCCCATTTCCACAAAAAATAATAAAAAACAATTAGCCAGGCCTACTGGTGTGCACCACCTACTCAGGAGGCTGAGGTGGAAGGATTGCCTGAGCCCACGAGTTTCGAGGCTTCAGTGAGCCATGATCATGCCACTGTACTCCAGCCTGGGCGACAGAGTGAGACTAAACAACTAAACAACCAACCAACCAACCAACCAACCAACCAACCAACCAACCAACCAACCAACAAAAAACCCCAGCAGTTAGGCTCTGGTAAAATAGTTTCTCTTAAGGGTGGGTTTTGCTAAGAATAGATGTTCTGGCACATTTCAGAATGATTCCTTTCCCCTCCCCCTGCAGGAAGGATGAAGGAATTTTTATGGGATCTTCACTGTGAAAACCTGGTAGATTTCCAGGAGGTGAGACTGCACTCCCCTTCCCCCAATCGATCCCTCCCCTGGAGTGTTTAACTCTGGGCCTTGTCCAACTGAGCCTCCAGCAATTCACTAAGTCAACTCAGGTTTTCTGTCTCTAGCACTGGTTCCTGCAGGGGTTTCTGCTCAGGTAAGTTGCACTTCTCTGTATTTGCCTGTCAATGTCTCCAATATCTGGGGCAGTTAACCCTGAGACCTCACTTCTCTGCGAGATCTAAGAAGAGTTGTTGATTTTTCAGTTTGTTCAGGTTTTTACTTGTTGTTAGAACTGAGTGACAAATTTCAACCCTCCTCATGTGCCAGACTGGAGACTGGATGCTTCTAGGGAACCACTGCAGGACGTGAGCCCCCCAGCAGGATGAGGATAAAGTCATGAGTCAACTGAGTGAAATGATCCCGTGGGTTTTGGGGACTGCAGACCTGTCCTTCTGCCTCTGACCCTCTGGTGAGACAGTGTAGAGAGAAGATGGAGTCGCCTGTTCTTGTCCCGTGGCCTGTTCCATGAATCAACCTCACCAAGGGAAAAAGCCCTGGATGTGAACCCAGTGGAAGCTTATTTTCCCGGTGACTTGGGGACATTGGCTTGGGATGGAGCCTGGCAGGGGTGGCTGGTCTGACTGATTTCTGTTCTTTTATTATTGTCAGGGAGGTGGGCCTGGCCACAGCATTAGCAGGAGGGAACAGGACAGTCAGTCCTTGTTAGTGGGAGTGTCTGGAAAGGCTTAAGCGTGATGGGTGCTGTGCAGGGCAGGGGTGATCCAGGCTGGAATGAAGGGGAGGAAGAAGAGGGACACGGAGGAGCAGACAGAGGGAGAAGTACTCATGGCAATGAGCAGTGGGGATGATAGTGATTTCAGAAACCCCAGGGACCAGGACCACCCCCACCCCCGGCTGCCACAGAACCAGGACCAGCCTCAGAATCAGGACCGGTCATATGAGATATGGTTTCTGGGGTGGCCTTAGGGGTAGGGGTCAGAAGGATGGAACATGGTCTCAGCTCCTGAGGGACAGAGGACAGGTGTGATTTAAATCTCCTAGGATTCTGTATCCAAGATCCAGTCAATGAAGAGGTCATTCATTCCCTCCCAGTTTCCTCAGAGAACTACTAGAGTATGTCTCACACTGGACCCTGTGCTGGTGCAGAGTCTGACAGGGGAAAGAGAAAGCAAAGTCCTTTCCTTCATTCTCCCATGGGAGAGACACAAACACATCAGGAAACACATGATTTCAAGTCCAGTGATGTGGTGGGTCTGGGGGAGGAGGGCTGGCCATTCCCATGACTACTCTGGTAGTTGAGGCAGGTGATTTCGTTCTAAGGAAAACTGATTAATCCTCCATTTTCTCCTCACCCCCTAGACCAGAATCTCCCCGTCAGCTGTGGATGCCTAAGAAGAAAGGCAAAACACTGGTGTCAGGTTCACAGACACCTAATAAGGTCCCACGGGGAGGAAAAGAGGAGGTTGTGACTACAGAGAGACCATGAGTGACTTTAATTTGCCTATGGTCTGTGTGACCCTAGTCAGTGACTGTATCTCCGTGTGCTTCAGTTTCCTTTGGTAGGAGAAATGATTGGCTGCCAGGTTGCCTAGGTTTAACTTTAAAAAATTTACAATTACTTTTTAAAAAAAATCACGGTCTAACTCTGTCACCCAGGCTGGAGTGCAGTGGCACGATCACAGCTCACTACAACCTCAAACTCCTGGGCTGAAATGATCCTTCCTCCTCAGCCTCTCAAGTAGCTGGGACTACAGGCATGTGCCACCACATTGGCTAATTAAAAAAATTTTTTTTGTATAGACAGGGGTCTCGCTGTGTTGCCCAGGCTGGTCTTGAACTCCTGGGCTCAAACAATTCTCCTACACTGGTCCCTCAAAGTGGTGAGGTTACAGGTGTGAGCCACCATACCCAGACAAAATATTTATAATTACTTGATCTCAGCTCTGCATAGAGATTCTGTCCAAATAAACAGCATCTCTTATTTGCCTCTGAGAGAGTCTCCTGGGCCTGGCCCCTGGATGACAAGGAGCTGCCAGGAGCATCCTCTCCCCTCTGTTCCTCCCCCTGGGGACACTGACCTCCCTAGGACATCTCTATCCAAAGTTCCTCATCCAGTCAGCTAATGCCATAGGGAGCCTGTCCATCTGTCCTCTCCATGCTGAGTCTCGTGTGAAGGACAGGGCTCTGTCCTTGCCCAGATGAGGCTCTGGGGACTGAGCCCTGGCTGGTGACCAGTTCCAAGAGCCGTTGCCCTCAGACAGTTGGTAAATCATGGCTCCCAGTCAGACTTGCCAGGAGGCCAGAACCCAGCCCTGGCCACAGGCTCCCAGGGTCACCTGGAGTCGGGAGCCTGGAATGGGGTTTGGGGAAGGGAATTACAGGATTGAACTTCTCTGTGAGGACCCCAGGGGATCCTTCACCAGGCCCTGACTGAGTCCTACAGGGTCTTTCTCAGGGTGGCATCCATGGGGAGGGCCCAGCTGGACTGGACTGAGACTGGTCTCCCCTGCTGAGTTTCCCATCAGACTGTCCTTCCTCCGCAGCCAATGACTGCAGGGTCAGGATGGGGGAAAGGAATTCTGATCTTTTGAGGTTTGTCTCCACTGTGTGTGTGTGTGTCCTACTGTGTCCAGGTCAGCACCATGACCCCCATGCCTTCAGTGCCTTTGCCCTCGTCAACTCCCCTGTTTGGATAATCTTCCCCAGGAGTCTGAGGGTGCATACCCCACTACCCTCAGGTCCTGCACTAAATACCCAAACTCCACCATGGGGCACAATGCAGGGGGGGACACAGGCAAAGTCCAGGCATGACAGTCCCGTGTGTGAAGCAGAATAACCCCCCAACACCCAGAGGTCATGGAGGAATTACTCACGGTATATGCGGAACTGGCCAGTTGCCTCTGCATTCTGAAAATTTGCCGTAATGATTTGTATCGTGTAGAATCCTGTGTCAATCAGGGTGACGTTCTGAATCAGCAGGGATGCGTTGTGGTATATTGTCTGTCGACCACTGTGTGCAGGCCCTGGGCTTTGTGTTTGACTGGTTATTGAATATGTTGCAATCCGTTGGGTCGCGTCCACTATTTGCCCTTTGTACCAGTTGTAGGCAAGAGAATTCTGTGGCAGATTGTGGACGAGTAGAAGAACATCCTTCCCTCCTGCCACATTGGACGGTACGGATTCTACAGTGACTTGGGCAGTGGTGGGTGGGTTCCAGAAGGTTAAAAGTGAGACTAGGAGGGAGGAAGAGAATCAGTCAATATTGGGACCTGTGTATTGGGAAGGAAAGATAAGACCTGGGTCCTAGCAGGTCTCTTCACCCCTCAGGTTTGGTGTGTGTGTGTGTGTGTGTGTGTGTGTGTGTGTGTCCTACTGGGCCAAGGTCAGCACCATGACCACCATTCCTTCAGCGCCTCTGCACTTGACATTTCCCCTGTTTAGAACACTCATCCCTAGGTGTCTGCAGGACTCACCCCCCAATGCCCAGGCCCTGCTCACACAAGGGGTATCCTTGGGAGACCCCTTCCCTGACCACTGGGTCTTCCCTCTCTGACCTTGCCCTGCTCTGTTCCCTCCATGACGCCTTTCAACCCCAACCTCATGTTTGAGATCTCTTTACTTGTCTGATTTCTTCCCCACGAGAATATGTGCTCCGTGAGGACAAGGACTTGTCTGTCTTGGTTGTACCCCAGTGCCTGGGGCAGGCTACAGACACCTGTGGATGAGTTATGAGAGTTCTCAGGGCCCTCTATGTCCTGGTGTTTGTTTTCTGATTTTTGAGGCTGGAGGCTGAGGGTTCTGTCTAGTGCCCCTTGTTTTGTTTTATTTGGATTGTCACAATGGCATGCATTGCTATTATTGTCATTAGTTTTTGAAATTTCTCACTCAGGGATGACTCGCTTGGAGATGCCAACAATTGAGATTGTTTTTGTTAATTTTCAGATCCCTGCGATTTCTCTCTCCCTTTACCAATGCCAGTTCACTGAGCGTTTCCTGTTGCGACCCCTTCTTTCTCTTTGGTGTCCTCTCCCCGAGGCTCCAACAGAAGCCCTCTGTCCCCTCTCAAAGCTCCGTCCTCCCCAGGAGACCTCATTGGTCTCACCTCAGTCCATGTCCCCCTCCCTCTGGAAGCTCTCCACATGCACTGTCAGCCAGTTATCTGTCCTCCCTCCTCCCCACCTCTCCCATAGAATCATCCCCTCTCACCTGTAAGCAGGAGCCTCTGCCAGGTGACATACTCTCTGCGGGGAGGGGCTGAGGGGGGTGCCATGGTCCCTGCTGCCAGCTGTGTCCTCCTCTGTGGAGAAGAGCTTCAGCCCCAGAAGTGCTCCTGAGCACGCTGCTCCGTGGGTCAGCTCTGCTGTCCTTCCTCTCTCTGCCCTGAGCCTAGTTCTTGGGGCGGGAGCAGTTTGGCTGTGGGCGGGGTCTGTACCCAGCACTCCTCTCTGTCCCCTCCCTCCAGTCCTGTGTTCTTGTGCCTTTTTCCTCTCTCTTTTCCTTCTTGCTTCAGGCCTCTGGGAAATGCTGAGACTTTCTGCCTTCTACACACACACACACACACACACACACACACACACACACACACACACAGTTAGTAGGGTGAGTAGAGCCTTGGGTCCTCAGCATTCTGCTGTCTCCATGGGTCAGAGTTGGGGTGCATAGCCGCTTCCCCGGGACAGGCAGTGCCAGGAGGACCCCTCTGGGGGGGAAGTTACTCACACTGAGGGGGCATGTGGGGGTGGGCCCTGTTCTGGGAGCTTAGGGAGCTCATCCACCCCTCATCCACATGGTAGAGATTGGTTCTCCCTCCTTGCTTCATGAGGGAGGTTGCTCCACATCTGTGGAAGAACAGGGGACAGGTGGTCACATCCATGATGGTGCCTGTGTGTGACCGTCTCACACTGTGCGCTGAGTCTCCAGGGGTCCACGGCCAGGTCACACTGTGTCTGTCTGATCCTGTCACCCCCTGTGAGCTCTCCCGGAGCCCCTGTCCTGTGTCAGCTCTGGGCTCCGCCTGGGACGCCCCAGAGGACAGGACACACAGACCAGGGACAGGACATGTAGTGAGTCTTCACAGAAACAGGGAATGACCACGGAGGGAAATTGTGAGGGGAAAGTTCCTACTGTGATTGGAGCATGAGTGGGAGCTCCCCTGGGAAAGCGCCCTTTTGGCTGAGACCTGGGAAGGAGGAGGTGTGGAGGGCAGGAGCCACCTGCAGATGGACCGGCCTGGGGGGGACACCTGGCTGGAGGGAGAGGCTGAGAGTGCATGAGGGAAGCTTCGAGAGGGAGGGGGGCGTGCACGGAGGTGAGGCCAGTGAGGGTCAGACCCTGCTGGGCTGTGGGCTCTGCTGAGGGAGGTCAGCTGCCCCGGGGGAGGCTCCGGGCTGGGGGACTCTGCTGCCCTCTGGTGGGCAGTGAGGAAAGTGTAGACGGCAGAGGCTCCACGCCAGGCTGTGTTTTATTTCACATCAATGTGTAGACCTTTCACTTGTGGTCATGCATGTATTATGTCAAAGCTCCATCGTGCCCCAGCTCTGTGAGTCAGTCTCCATGGCTCTAAGTTCACTGTTCTTTCTCTTTTGTGCTCAGAGAACTCCAAATGCAGATTTTTGTGACCCTCTGTCAGTTTGCGATTGTCTGCAGTAGGGCCACATAGTGGTGCATGTCCCTGGGGGACAAAATGTCTGCTGCTGAGCACTGGGCAGGGGTCTGGGAGGGAAGAGGGAGGAGCAGGAGGGGAGGGTCAGAGTCAGGAGCAAGGAAAGGAGGAAGAAAGAGCAAGGCAACTTCATTTCTCACTCCCAGGAGATCAGAGAGGGGAGCTGCCTCTGGGGACACAATCTCACTTACTCTCTGTGTCCCTGGGTGTAGTGAGTGCTTATAACTTTATGTTGTCTCAGCATCCATTTTTAAAGTGTTAACTTGACTTTCTTATTCCAGTAGCAGAGCTCTGTCACCCTGAGAGTTTCCAAAACCACACCCAACACAAATGGTTCCAGCTATGGCCAGAGATAAAAACCTGGAAGTATCTCTCTCCCACCTAGCAGGATGAGCTCCTCTTCTTTCTCTTTAAAGTGACTGTCAGAGCCAGGCACGGTGGCTCATGCCTGTAATCCCAGCACTTTGGGAGGCAGAGGCGAAAGGATTGTCTGATCCCAAGGGTTTGAGACCAGCCTGGGCAACATGGCGAGACCGCGTCTCTTCAATAAAATTTAAAAATGAGCTGGGCGTGGTGGCATGCATCTGTAGATCCAGCTACATGGAAGGCTAAGGTGGAAGGATCACCTGAGCCCAGCAGGTCGAGGCTGTGGTGGCCGTGAACATGCCCCTACCCTCCAACTCGGGCAACAGAATGAGACTCCAACTCAAAAAAATAAAAAAACCCCGTCAGACATTTACCTTTGATAAATGATACCCTCTCAGTCAGCACCACCTCCTGGAGTCAGTGTCTGCTTGCTTTAAACCCACCCACTGGAAACCTGTTGGATTATATCCTGGACCCAATAAAGGTGCTGGCTACCAGGCCCTCTCTCCCTGCCTGGGGTCCCTGATCTCCCTGTATGTGACCTCCAAGTGTGCCATGAACCCCCCCAACCAAGGGTCTGTAAGTAGTAAAACTGAACTTTCACGCTGTGTTTGTGTCATTGAAACCTTGCCTGTGATTCGACCTCTGCTGTTGATGCTGCCCCAAGGGACCCATGCAGGTGAATCTCCTGCTGTTACTTTTTTGTTGGGGTCTCTGAGGCTCCTGGGGACAGTAGCTGCCAGTTGTGTTGATGGGGAAACGCTGAAAAATTCTTATCAAAACAATGGGTCAGGTGAAGTATTGGTGTGCTTGTGTTATAGGACCAACAGTAACAGATCAATTCCACTGATGCAGCAGGGTCTGCAGCTGTGAATGAGTTTTTTTTTTTTCTTTTCTTTTCTTTCTTTCATTCTTTCTTTCTTTTTTGGGGTGGGGGGGTGGGTTGGAATTTCACTCTGTTGCCCAGACTGGAGTGCAGCGGTACGCTCACAGCCACCACAGCCTCAACCTGCTGAACTCAGATTATTCTTCCACCTTAGCCTTCCATGTAGCTGGAACTATAGGCAGGCATCCTACACCCAGTTAATTTTTTCATATATTGTAGAGCTGAGGTCTCACCAAGTTGCCGAGGCTGGTCTTGAACCCATGACTCAGGCAATCCTCTCACCTCGGCCTCCCAAAGTGGTGGGATTATAAACGTCAGCCACCATACCTGGCCGAGAAAGAGTTTAATGATCACAGGGTACCAAGGGAGGTGATGGGAAGAGACCCTAAAATCCATCCCCTGGAGATGGTCTGGGCTGGGATTTTTAAGGGGACTGTGGAGAGTGAGAGGTGGGAAAATTAGGGCTGTGGGTTGGTCAAGGTAAGGGGATGAGATCATCAGGGTGTGGAAACTGGGTTCTTTGGTGAGTCAGCTTCCTATAGGGTCCTTTAGACAAGATGACATCCATAGTTTCAGTGGAATGCTATACCTAAACAATATCTCAAAGAGAAAACTCAACTTTTTATAATGCTCAAGTTGCTATCTATAGAGCAGGTAAGGGGAACTGTCATCTTGTAACAGGACTTGCATGATTCTGAGGCAATAGGCACCAGACCACTATGAGGAAGTGGAGCAGAGAGCAAGCAGATGATTAATGCTGAATGTGATGCAAGCCTGGTTGGTTTTTGTTTCTTCCCCTCCCTTCTTCTCTGATTAATTTCATAAAGTTTAATTGGGCAGTTTCACTTGGGCTGCCATGACCAATGCCATAGCTTGGGTGGTTTCAACAATAAAAATTTATTTCTCACAGTTCAAGAGACTGCAGAGTGTAAGGTTAAGGTTCTGGATGACTTGGTCCATGTGAGGGCTCTCTTGTAGACAGCTGCTTTCTTTCTTTCTTTCTTTCTTTCTTTTTTTGAGTTGGAGTCTCACTCTGTCACCCAGACTGGAGTGCAGTGGCCACTCCCGGCCACCGCAATCTCGACCTGCTGGGCTCTGGCGATCCTTCCACCTCAGCCTTCCAAGTGGCCGGAACTACAGGCACACTCTACCACACCTGGCTAATTTTTGATTTATTGTAGAGATGAGGTCTCGCCAAGTTGCCCAGGCAGGTGTCGAACCCGCGGGCTCAGGCAATCCACTCACCTCTGCCTCCCAAAGCGCAGGATTACAGGCTGAGCCTCCAACCCCAGCAACAGCTGCTTTCTTGCTGTATCCTCACGTGGTGGGGAGTGGGATGGATGGATGAAGGGTGGGGGAGGGATAGTTCTAAGTCTTCTTCTTTTAATAAAGGCCTTAATTTCATCAGGAGGCCCCATCCTTATGAACAAGCCTTATTCAAACTACCTCCCAAAGGTAATTAGGAGTATCAAATGCCATTTCATTAGGGATTAGGGCTTCAGTAATTTGGGGGGTCACAAACATTTGGTCAACAGCGGGAGGGGCGGGAGCTGCCTCCCCTCCTGTTCATCAGGACATGGCGTCACCTGCTGAAATGACTTCATACTCACAGTCCCACCCTGGGCTGCACCCCACAGAGCCTGTGTCCTCCTCTACTCTCCTGCCCATTCCTGGGCTTTCTTTCCTGCACTACCTTGTCCCTGTGGCCCCACCTGTTCCTATACCAAGCACTGCCCCTGGGGTCGCTGTCCCCTCACCATCTCTGGCCTCATTGACCTTTTCCGTTTGTCCTGAGCCCTAAACCCTATGAGGGAGGAAGGGTGAAACTGGGGTGGGTGCTGTCCAAGGTGCTGCACTCTCTGGACAGTTTGAAAATGAGGGCCACTGATGTGTCACCTGGGAAGAGACCCTGGGAGGCAGAACCACAGGGGAAGCCTCTTCAGAGTGGGCAGAACTCGGGACCTGGAGGGACGGAGCTCTGTGTTGTCGACTGACTCCCCTGGCTCCGTGTTCCACTCTGTAGCTGATTCTCTTGCGTGATCCCTGAGCCCCTGCTTGAGTCCTCACAGTGCACGGGCAGTCAGAGCTGTGTGTGGAGATGTAATGGAGGGTTCCATGTCCTCTCACAGAGTGTCCAGGGGACAGGATTCTTTATCTCTCTGGTCCTAACCCCACAACAAGATCTGATGATGGACTGTGTCATTTAAAGTCAGAATCCAGCCAGGCTTGGTGGCTCAGCCTGTAATCCCACACCTTGGGAGGCTGAGGTGAGTGAATTGCCTGAGCCTGCGGGTTCGAGACCCACCTGGGCAACTTGGTGAGACCTCATCTCTACAATAAATCAAAAAGTTAGCCC